ATCCAAATGTTATAATGAAGATTCAGTCCATGGTCCTAGAACTTGGAGCCAGACTCCCCAAAGTCTGGACCTTCTAAAGAAAACAGCCTTGTTGGTGTTTATTTATGTGCTTCCTTTGTTGCTTTGGCTTCAATTGCCTGATAAAAGGGCTTGAAAAACATGCATAAAATATGCATGAAGAGCATGCATAATATTCATAAAAGGCCTCGCAAAATGTCTGCTGAAGAACATATATAGAATTTAAACAATGCCAGTGCTTTTTATCAATCTTCATGGCAACTCTGCAAGGTAGATATTGTTATCACAATAACAATCCCCAAGATTCAAAAAGAAAATACTTGAGGAAAGAGGGTGGCTGAGCTATCCCAGAGAGGGGAAGGGTAAAATTTCTCTGATTTCCCTGGGGATGAAGAAAGACACAGCATCTCCTAGAAATCTCTTTGAGTCTGATATGCCTGGAAATAGCTGTTTCTGGGAAACGCAATCAGGCTGAACCAAGAGTAACATACTAATTCCAAATCCTCACAATTACATGTTGAGAGCCTGCCTAGATATCCTGGGTGCCACCTTGCAATAGGCCAGTTGTGTCGCTGACAGCTCGGTGCCTATCAGGGAAAAGACACACTCTCAGTTGGCGCCTCTTATAGTCACATTAATCCAACTGAAGTGTGGTTCTGGAACACAGCCAGTCTAGCCCACTGAGGCAAGACTTGATGGAGCACAGGCTAGCATGGAGAGAGCTGGACAGCTCAGGGGATGGAGGGTGGAGGGAAGCAGGGCAGTTAAAGTATCTTTATGGTGAGTTTTCAGGCATTATTGATACTGTCAATAAAAAGACACATGGAGCCAACATCCCATAGCATAGATGTGGAAACAAAGGCAGACACCTGACTCAGAAGGGCTGACAGTGATCAGCCCTATTTCAATTGGGCTTATTTTAAATAGAAGCCATGTGGGCTTCAAGATAAAGATGTTAAATTATGAATACAGGAAGATCTTAGCTAATGTAGACTCATCAACCTAAAGACAGTTTTTATACTTCAAGAGTAGTCAAATACTCATAGCTCCTATTCCTCCCAGCCCCAAACAAGACAAGAAAAGTTCAAACATAGACCCTGTCTGGAAAGAAGGATGTCCAGCTAGCAAGGCAAGAGTAGCCCAAACCAAATGAGGAAAAGATATACCATGGGAGGTTGTGTCTAATTTGTACAGCTCAAATAGTAAGTTCTGGAACAGTTCTGAGGATGCAAAAATTCTTAAAAGTGAGCTGGACCTTCCAGAGTAAGTGGTTTAAGTTGGGACACAGGCAAGCATCCTACAACATAAGCAGAGGCATGTAAAAAAAAGAGAGTATTGGACGTTGAAAACATTGAGAAAGCCAAACCATAGGGTAAAAACTAGAGTTCCCAAATGAGATTCACACTTGAAAATCAGACCAGTGATTTTCAAACAATGCAAAACTTTCTCCAAGTAGACATTGCAAAGTGTCAAGAGAGAGCCTATAGAACACCACACTCCCCCTATGCCAGCTCCCACCTACCCCCACCCAAGTATGTTTTAATCAGCATATTTAGCTTTGATCTGTTTTACATATTCAGGTTCCATGTAAGATTTTATTTTAGAATAAGTTGTTTTTAAAAAGTTTTAAAACATTATAGGGACCCTAACAATGAGAACAAGAAAGATAATCTGCAAATTCATAGTTTTTAAAAAGCCAAACATTTGCAGAGTAACAAAAGTTGAGTTAATGTATAGCCAGCAGGCTAGCACAGCAAGAAATGCTAAAAGAAGTTTCTCAGGTCCAATGGAATTGATACCAGAAAAAAGCACAGGTCTGCTAGAAACAGTAAAGGGCACCAGAAACACATTTTAAAAAATCAAATGCCTGGGAATAAATCTAAAACAATAAGTGGAAGCCCTTCACACTGAACACTAAAAGAATATTTGCTAAGAAAAATTAAACAAGGCCTAAATAAATGAAGACATATACCATGTTCATGGATTGGTAGGCTAAATAGAGTTGAGCAGTCCATTTGAAGACTTCCACTTCTGGCCAATAGAGAGAAATATAATTTTATCTCCAACTAAAAAACTAGACAAAGTATATAAAACAACAGTTTTCAAGACAGTGGGTATAGAGCAATGAAAAAAATTATTTCTAATAACTGGGGGAAAAATTGAGTCCCATGACTATCCCAGCAGATAGCCTTGTATTTCCAGGCTGAGGCATAGGGAGGAATAATCTAGGTAGAGCCCAGCAGACTTCTTAAACTGAAGAGATGAAGTTGATAATCTGGGGAGATCAAGGTAACTAGAGTTCACAGGACAGAGTATCAGAGAGGAGAGAGCTGCATCGAAAGAGAACTCTAACATCTGAGAAAGTCTCTTTGGAACACATATAACAAATATTTTTATTTATATTTTTTTATATTTATAAAATTATAAAAATAATATTTAAACAATTTATATAATCAAATATGTCTCTGCTTTCCTTTCTAACATCTGGGTTCACTGTCTTGCTTAGGAGAGTCTACTCTACTCTAAGGAATTTATTTTATGAACTTGGCTCAACATTTTAAGGGCATATTCTTCTGGGGGCTTTCAGCGCTAGGCATACCAACCTTAAAGAGAGCAAGAGCAGCAAAAGAATGTTTGCAGAAAAGCATGACTGCAAGTGGAGAGCAGTTTAAAGTGGTTAAGAACTCTGGAGTCAGATAGTCCTGCATGTGAGCTCTATTTCCTGGATGAGAGTTCTGGATGAATAACTGTGAGGACTTTAGGCAAGTCACTTAACCTCCTCCTCCATAGAAGAGGGATATTAATACCTACTTCATATGCTTATTATGTGTATAACAACTGACAATAATGTATGTAAAACATTTAACAGAGGGCTTAGCACACAGCAAATGTTCAGTAGGTAATCACCTTTGTTACTACCATCACTAGCATAGAAAAAGTAGGAAAGAATTTTAGAAAGATAGGCTACGGTTAGAGTTTGGACTTTGATCTCTAGAGGGTGAAAAACAATGGAAGGTTTGGTAGCCAAGGAATAATATAAGAGGAGTGATGTTTAATAAAAAATTCATCTCTCTTTAAGGGTCCATAGTATCCTTTAAAGGCTATATTTATATTTCCCTATGTATTTTCTATCTCAAAATCTTAGAAAAAAATGACACATCTTAAATACTATCACATTTAAAAACTTCTTGTGATTTGGTCTGACTGTGATCATTTGTTCAATCTACATCTGATCTTAAGTGAATATTCTTGTCTTATAATCAAAAACATATTCTGTCTTAAAACTCTATAACTTAAATTTTCTGTAACCTTATTTGTAGGGAGGTTGATATTGTTAATTCAGCTAAGAACAACTGAGGGTGGTCTCACTGGCTTTCACCTCACTCCTGCAGGCAGATACAATGTCATCTCACAGTAGGATGTGCCTGTCCTCCACATCTCTTACGAACTGAATATTTGTGTACCCCCAAAATTCATATGTTGAAGCCCTAACCCTCAATGTGACTATATTTAGAAATGGTGCCTTTAAGGGTGTAATTAAGGTTAGAGGAGGTCATAAAGGTGGGGCCCTAATCCAATAGGATTAGTGTCCTTATAAAAAGAAACCCCAGTAGGGGCTCGTGCTCTCTCTCTCTCTCTCCCTCTCTATTTCTCTCTCTCTCTCTCTCAGCATGCATAGAAGAAAGGCCTTGTGAGCACACAGTGACCACCTACAGGCTAAGAGAAAAGACCTTAGAATGAAACCAAATTTGCTAGCACCTAGATCATGGACTTCCAGCCTCCGGGACTGTGAGAAAATAAATGTCTGTTGTTTAAGCCATCCAATCCATAGCACTTCGTTATGGCAGCCCGAGTACACTAATACAACAACTGATCGAGCACTGACATCCAGAGTCAAACTCTCATTCTAAATTGGAAGCTAGGAGATATTTTAATCTGAATTAAAGTTATTTTTTTAGGGTAGGATTTCTGTTTCTCCATTCCTCTCAAGCCAAGGGTCCCTGGAGCCCAACTGCTGGGGAAGGTGAAAGGAACATCCTTTCTTTCCATTCAGTGGAGTGCTGGGTCCCTCCTGCAGAAATCATAGGAGAATGTGGATCTAGAAGCCACGTGACCCAAATATTCATGAGAGTTATAAAACACAGGAAAATATACGACTCAATTTTAATACATATTCACGAAATCCTAGTTACAGCTTCTTTACAGAGAGACGCCATGGCTTGGCCCATAAGCTGCCTTTCTTACCTGCTAGTTTCTTTGTTTTGAGGTATTGCTGAGAGACTAAATATATAATCAGACAATGGCCAGACCATATGTGAAAACAGAGCTCTAACCCACAACCTGCCCAAGAAACCAACCCCCTTATCTGCAATAAACAACCCAGGAAGCTAGCCTGCTGTAAGTCAGACTTGCAAGAAGCCAGATTGCTATCTCTACTAACAATTCAGGAAGCTAAACAACAACTTCTGTAGCAATCAGCCCCAAATATCCAGGACTCGATTAACAACAGCTTTCCTAATTTTTTACCTCACTTCCAACTTAGGACCAAAGAGAGAAAGCCAGATATGGGCCCCTCACCAATCACATGGCTGCCCTGCTGCCGGTCAGCCACCTGCAGCTTCCACACGCCAACAGCCTTCCGTCGGGCACGCCTGGACCCTTCTCCTCTTCCCACGGTAAGCTCTCCCACTCCTCTCCCTGCCTTTGAGTCTCTGCCACACGCGAGTCACAGTGGCTGACTCCCTTGCTGTTGCAATGTCTGAATAAATAGCCTCTACATTTCTCATCTGGCTGGTTTTCATTCACTTTTATACTGTCTTTTCATCTATTCCTGAGAAGATCTGAGACATTCTCTTTCTACCCAGTTGTGTCTTTTGAAACAGTTTTCTCTCATGTTTATAATGAAGATACTGTTTTCTCCTGCAATTACAAATTGTTAAGGGGCAAATCATACAATGTAAATAAAAAATCATGCTACATACTTGTGAAAATATAAAGCAATCCCTAGCATGAGGAAGAGGTACACCAACTCTCCAAAAGAGAAAATTACCCCCATTTTTCTGGCAAACACGAACTTTGAGTATAGCACAGAGGGTGCAGGTCCCCAGGGTTATTGCTCCAGGCCAGTGTTGTGTACACAGGGCCCGAGGCCACCTGTTCTTGTTCTCTCCCAGCCCCGTGTCACTTTTTCAGGAGTATTTATAGTGACTCCTCAAGTGTTCCTAGGTTCCAGGATCTGCCCCCTGGCACCAAAGCTCCCTGTCTCCACTGAGCCATTGTTCACTAAGCTGCCTTGGTTGCCTGCCCCCCTCCCCAGGGTGTCCCCCTCCCCACCCAGACTGGGCACACTGTCTAGGTGCTTGTTTGCTCAAGCCAGTGAAAAAGGCATGAGGAACTCTTCAAAAGCAGCTTTCAAACTGCTGATCTTGGCAGCTCTGCTGTTTTGAAAGACAACAGAGCAGTGGGAAGGGGGAAGATTTCATTCCCTTGGAGCTTCTCTGTTCCGCTCTGGAAACAATAGTAACAAAGTGCATTTTGGGAAGAATCATTTGAACCAGGCCTTTATCTGCATTGCTTGGAATAAGGTTTCATAAAAAACAAACCAACAACCAAAAATACCCTCCATTTAATTATTCAGATGAACATTCATTTTAGTCTGGTTTGTTTCTCATCAATGAAAATGAATAATTAACTCCCTAAAGTTAGATATTGCTAATATGTAGAAATCCATTTCAATGAATTCAGAAGCTGGGGGATTTCTGATTCCCTGTAATCGATCACACTGACAAACTTTAAATGACTTGATGGAAAATGAAAGCCCCATGTTGCCATTTGGTGTTCAAGGGCTTGTTTCTTTTGTTGGTAAGTTGGACGGTGGACTTGTTGGGGCTGACCGCGACTTAACCTGTGCAGACTACAGCACCCACCAAAGGCTCGACAAAGTGTTGTAATATAATTCATCCGCAATTTTCCAGGAGGACAGTGCCAGTGATTAAACAGCTTCAAGTAACAGAGAGTTAGAAAGAGAAGCATGGACACAATCTACCAGTCTACCCTTGTCCGTCTATAGATAACGGTCAGGCGGCTACTGTGACCTGCAGACATTGGGTCCAGTTGCCAGTGGTAGTGTAGACTGGAAATCACAGCTCCTTCTTCAGATTAACACCCACCGTTGGGTGCTGGGGGCGTTGAATCCTAGGGATGGAAGACAAGAGAAGACATGAGACTTTCTCAGTGGTCTGTCCTCAGAGCCTGGTGTGTGGGATAATCAGATCTTTCCTGTCGCCCAAGTTAACAGTTCTATTGCATCTGCTTTTTTGTTGTTTTTGCTAAAAGAGTGTCTGTCTCTTTAGCAACCCTGGTCTGGCACCCCAAGGAGAAGAAAAGAAGGGAAAAAAACCCAAACTCCTCACTGTAATGTTGGAAGAACTCATCCTACAACACTGAAAAAGCCCACTGTGCCACAAAAGAATTACCCTCTACATGGAATTAGAAATAATTAATGTGAGTTGAAACTGCTACAAAGCAAACAACCAAAAGGCTCTGCTGAATTATTGATGCGATGGGAAGAAAAATGGGTTTGGAGTCAGATGGACTTAGATTTAAGGGCTACTTCCCCCTTGCAGCTTGCTGGGACCTTAAGCAAGCAGGTTGACACTGCAGCCCAGTTGCCTTATCTCATGATGTCGGTGAGAGGAATGAATGAGCATCTGACACCATGCTTGGCACAGGGTTATATTTCAAAGGCTCGTTTTTACTTTCTATCCTTCATTCTAAATGAGGGACTATAGTCTCTATGGGGCCCCTTTTGGAGACTAGAAAAATATACAGTTCAAAAAGTGCTTGATTTTTTTTTTTCAATCTTCACTGCTTTTATTTTGTGATTTATCTGCTGGTAATACTATATTTTTTAAAATCACAATTTTTTGTATGTTTGTTAATATTTTATGAGGCAATTATAATTCAGTGTAAAATATAAGGACATTTTAAAACACAATTTTATTTTATCTGATCTTACACGTATTTTTAGACGGAATGAAGTTATTATAGTTCCATATTGAATCAGAGGAAAATAAGTTTAGTAGAATGTAAAGTGTGGTATTAATAAAATAAATGTTTCCATTTAAGCTGCACAATTTTCTTATAGAAATATTTAAACATATGCAAAGGTAGAAAGAATAGTATAATGAACCCTCATGTACCCAGCACCTAGGTTTAGCAATTATATTTTGCCAACATTGTGTTTTCTGCACATCACCCTTCAATTCTCACCATTTTCTCTTACCTGGAGTGTTTTAAAGCAAATGCTCAACATCAAATTTTAGTGTGTATTTCTGATAAGGACTCTTCTTATTTTACATAATCACATTACTGTTAGCATATCTAATAAAATTTAAAAATTATTCCTTATATAATTCTTACATTTCTCAGTATCTACTCAGTGTTTAAATACTCTGTCTCAAAAATATCTTTCTACAGTTGACTTGCTTGAGTCAGGTCCAGATAAGATCCAAACATTGTATTTGGTTGATATGTTTAAGTCTCTGTTAATCTACACCCTTCCTCCCTCCATGCCTCCCATTCCAATGCCATTTATTTGTTGAAGAAATCAAATCATTTGTTTTATAGAATTTCTCATAATCTAGGTTTGGCTAATTGTATGGTTGTGGTATCATTTAATATAGTCCCTGCCCCTTATATTTCCCATAACTGGTAGTTGAATCCAGAGGCTTGATCAAACTCAGGTTCAATTTTTGGGAGGAGCCAGTGCTGACTACTGGTCATGTCAGGAGGCCCGGTAATATATATAATAAATAATATCTGTCTCTCTTACGGTGAGTTTTCCACTGCTCCGTGAAGACAAAAGGTATTTTGATTCCAATCCAGGCCAACATAACTCTCCATATGTGGTGGAAGGGACATGATCTTTGGAGTCAGCCAAACTTGAGATAAAATACTGAACTGTGTGACCACAGACAAGACATTGTGGATTTTACCTTGTTGGGTGCTGGATATTTTTGGATTCCTGTAAATAATCTTGAGCTTTGTTCTGGGATGCAGTCAAATTACTTGGAAACAGTTTGACCCTTTGGGGCCTTGTTTTTAATACTGTTAGATGGGCCCAAAGTAGCATTCACCTGGGGCTAACTTTGTGCCACTACCGAAGCAAGCTCTCTGAGTTCTCTACGCAATGCCTGTGAATTAGGAAGGTCTCCAGTCTGGATGGTGGCCTGCGTGAGCACCAGGTACTACTGTTCTCGCTAATCCTTTAGTCTAGTTCTTTCCCCACCCTCAGGTATTCTCCTGACACACATGCACCCATCAGTCCTGTGCCGCATGCAATATTGCAGGCCTTGACGTACAGACGCTGCAGAAGCCAGGCAGTAATTCCCACTCCTGTGAAATACACAGTACTGTAAAGATTACAACTTTCAGATAAAACCAAGCAAATTTTGCCAACTCAAACCTTAGATGTGAGTAGGATCATATTCACCAAACCAAATCCACTCTGCATAGGGCCATGGAAACGAGCAAATATGTGCAAGAGCCCTCTCGGAACACCAAATAGAACTTCTCGTTGAGTGACTCCTTAAAATAAGTCCCAGCTTTCCCCTTCTCACACCCGCAAAACAACAAATAAATAAATAAAAGCAAAATGCACCTTTGCTAAAAGTGTTTCCATTGGAAATCATCTTACTGCCACAGAGGAGGAGAAAAATAATTTAAAACAGATAAAAGAGTGGATCTGGAGAATTCTTCTTTTCTTTTAGAAAAAGAAAAACCATGCACTTTAATACCACGAGCCCATGTAAGAATGCCATTCAAAATAATGGTTTTATATTCTCTAAATCCTTGACATTAGTCTTTTTGAGGGTATATCATATATCACAAGACTGCTTTTATTTTCTTCCCATCAGACAAGACTATCCCAAGCAATTACTGAATAGCCGATTCAGGGGCCATGATAAGGACGGAACGAGAATTTCAGAAGTTGTGTGTCTCTGTGGCACACCCCCCTTTTATGCCTGGGGGGCCCCGTAGCACATAACTAGTGTTAATGGTTTTCTTCAGCACCAGTGGTCGTGTCTCAGGCAGTTTGTGCCACCTGAGTTTTTGTTTTTATTGCTGTTACTATTGCCGGTTGTTCTTTTAAGGACTCTTAGAAGTTCTAAAAACACTGGGAATTTGATTAGCTGTGAGAGGCAGAGGATATCATACAACACTGATTATTTATAAGGGACATTAAATGGTACTGTTCTCAAAAACAATGAATTATCATAAATTAATAATATAAATTTTAAGGAAAGACATATCAGGTCTCTTCATAGATAATACAATTATCTGTAAAGTTAAACCCTAAGCATGTCAATTAACAAGTTGTATCAACCAACAAATAGAAGCAGCAAAGCTTGCATCTTCAATCGGTAACAAAAATGTAGTGATTTCTATTATCCAAAACCTTGTTTTACATTCGATATGCCTAGCATTCACTGTATGTGCTATTGACAGACCCCATTGCCAGACTAGGGGAACGGGAGTACCCTAAACAGTTCATCCACCCACAGAGAGCAGAAGGCTGTGCTTTGGGAGGGCAGACTAAATGAATGTGTTTACTTGCTCTCCCTTGCATTCCTCATGGAATCCACTGTAATGACACGTAAACAAGGCAGAATAAATCCATAACAGTACTAAGTGCAGTGGACCAGAAATCTTGACATGTTTCCAAAAGCCAAGTACATGGGATCATATGGATTCAAAATCAGAGCAAGGAGTCACAGCTCTTTTCCCAAGAGAACGCTGTGCGCATCTGTGTCAGTGCCCTAAGGCTGCTCTGACAAAGTACCTGTGGCACAAATTGGGTAGTTTATAACCACACAAATGTATTCTCTTACAGTCCTGGAGGCTAGAAGTCCAAAATCAAGGTATTGGCAAGGTTGGTTCCTTCTAAGGGCTCCGGAGGAAAACCTGTCCTAGGCCTTTCTCCCAGCTTCTGGTGTTGCCAACAACCCTTGGTGTTCCTCACCTTACAGCTGCATCGCTCTGTCTCTGCTTCTGTTGTTACGTGGGTCTCCCCCACTCCCAGTGTGTCTCTCTGTCTCTATCCCTCTTTTCCTCCTCTTATAAAGACACCAGTCCTAAGGGCCCACCCT